ATTTGCTGCAGTGAAAAGTTGACCGCCCTACAATATTGAGGCGGTGGGTTTGAGTTTCTGCCTTACGTGGGTTTAAGTCCTGGTTTTTTTTTTTTTTTTTTGTAGTCATTTTTAAGTCATTTGAATTTAAAGAATTCAGTTGAATAAAAAAAAAAGAAGAGAATGCATAGCAAAGTAGAGGAAAAGACAGATTTAGTCACGTCTCTATTATGTAAGCACTGCGTACATATATACTGAAATAATTCAGTCCAAATGCAATCAATCATCATGTGAGACAAAAAGTGGGACAAATTTTGCCACCTTAACCATGTGAGCTTATATATTCGACGTTCCTCAACATTTTTTTCACATATTTTGGTCCTAATTTTTTATCCCACATATCGTTTTCCTTTAATTTGGCGTCTTCTCAATGTTTCACTTTCAATCCACAAACAAACCACGATATCCCATCCCCTCTTTCCATGCATCCTACTAGAGTTGGTCCTGATGTCCCCCTGTAAGGTATATCCAAACTAAGAAAATAACTATACATTATTTGATTTGATATATTTTTTAATATTTATTTGATTTAGTCATTAAAATATAATATAAATATAATTAATTTAATCAATTGTTATATTTTGTATGTATAATTATAAGCTTAAATTTATTTTTTTTAATTTTAAATTAAACAATAAAAATTTTGTAATGAGTATATTGTATAAAATATTAAATTAAAAAGTATAATAATCAATGTTCTCCAAATAAACCAATGTCTTTGAAATTGTTATAAAATATTATGATCATGATATTATGAGTATTTTATTATTATAAAAATTTTATTATTGTTTGACAATTTTTTTTAAAAAAAAATTAATATACATCCGCATGACTACTAGTTTTAAATTTTACAAAATATTAATTAAAATTAATTTAATTATAATAAATAAATCCTTCTAATAATATGTCGTGCAAAAAATAAATAAATAAGTAAAACGTTGCGAGAAAATAACTCCGCACGAGATATTCTAACCGACACTGTAATAAATCGTCCTGGTCCTAACACGCGAGGAAATTAAAAGTCCACTAGTCTCGTCTCGTCTACGTCTGTATAAGTGATATACCCTACAAACGAAGGTCACCATGTTCATATTGAAGGAAGTGGAGTGCTAGTGACACAAAATAGACAAAGAATCATCTAATTAATCAATTTCATGCAGGACCATATACATCCACTTCACAAAACAAAATGTACTGTTGACTCTTCCCTTTCTTCGTCTTCTCTCCTGTCATTGTATATAATATAAAACCTCCTCTCTTTTTTTTTTTTTTTTTTAATATATATTGAGTGGAAAAGAACATGCAAGCCAATTCATCCATGCATTAAAAGCTTCCTTTCCTTTTCTTCTGACTAGTAAGAGGTTGAGGTGCTATCTTGCATGCCTTTTAATTTTCCGGTCCACATACCAACAAACAGGGCAAATTAAGGAAAAATTCAGAACGTATGAAAAAGGCAATCCATGATGTGGTGCTGATCAAAAGGAGAAAAAAGCAGGAGATTCTTTCGGATTTAATTAATTAATTATTAAATAGTAACTTGACTTTCGAATTACACATTAATTGTTTTGTAATTTTAATTTATTTTATTTCTTACTCCTTCTGTTGCACAATATCTGTTGTATTTACTTTAACTAATATTTTATATATTTTTAAAACAGTAAAAAGACAAAATAATCAAGAACTAAAGTATCAAAAAATTATAGTCTAACGTTTTTAAATGAAGTCTAAATAGACAGTAATTAATTTGAGAAAAATATTTAGGATATGGATATTGTAGAACAAAAGGAGTAACAAGTTAAATAGAATGATGCTGTGTCATCATTTTAAGAAATTTTTAATTGATATTAAATTAATGAACAGGAGAACGATGACTGCACCCAAAGATCTGAAAATTTCTGAACCAAATTGAACATTCATTAGAATACATGGACCCCCGCTGCTATTAATCCTTGGAATAATTGGAATAGTATCTTTAATTATTTTATTACTGACAACTCTTTACAAGTTTGCACTCGGAAAAAGTTGAACATAGAGACATATTTATAGGTACAAAATGCAGATAAGTAGGACCACTGAAAATTACCCAACTGACAAGTAATACATGCAAATGATAAGCCTCGCCCGTTCCCTACATGTCTATTATTATTCTTCAATACAACACAATATAGTTGAATAAAACTACATATCAAACGCGGAGACTCGCTTTTCCTCCATCGTTCTTTTCTCTCTTCGGCATCCTTCTCTTTATTTCAAACACGAGGGGATTTTTCTCCTTTCCTGCAAGAATAAACACAAGCGAAAATCAATCTCATTCATTTTTGTCAATTCAATGTACAGTTTTTAATAGGACATCCTTTTAAATTTTTTTCTCATATGGCCATAATGAAATATATATATATATATATATGCGGTTGACTTAGTTTATAGAAATTGAATCTTGTGGAATGGATGAAGATTTACCTTCATTAACACTGCTTGCTTAGTAGTGGTAAGGAGGAGGGGGTGATGCATACTTGTAATGTGGGGGCGGTGGGGGAGGAGACTTGTACTTGTAAACTGGTGGGGGAGGTGAG